GTTAGAAACATCAATGAGAGAGAGAGTCATCGATCAGCTGCCTCCTGCACACCCCCACTGGGGATGTGCTCGCAACCAAGGTACATGCCCTTAATCAGAATCGAACCTGGGACTTTTCAGTCCACAGGCCAACACTCTGTCCACTGAGCCAGTTTCAGCTGTTAACAATTCTTTACATTAAATTTTCCTTATTCAGATTACTGGTGTGTGTCCCCTCTTCTAAGTGAAGCCCGACTGAGAATACAGGGAGTGGTCCTTGAATGGTGCCAGCACTCAAACATACAATTTCTGGATTAACTTGGTCCTGCCTTTGGACTTGAGCACAGTGCTGAGCCACTTGCCAATGGGAAATGGGATGCTGGTGCTTTCTGGCATGCAGGGAAAAGACAGCGAGTGAAGCGGTTACCTGTGGTTGGTTATGATGAGGTGCCAATTGAAGCAAGCACATGGGGAACCCAAAGGGTCACTGCTCTTGACTAATGATGGCCACAAGGATGGTGTTGTCTTCTCTGTTCAGGCGACTGTAACACTGATACCAAAAGACTTGGGTGCCTTATAAATAAGAAATATTAACTTCTCATAGTTCAAGGCATCAGTAGATTAGGCATCTGGTGAGGGCCTACTCTTTGGTTCATAGATGGCCATCTTCTTACTCTGCCCTCCCATGGTGGAAGGGGTGAAGGGACTTTAGGGGGCTCTCTTATATGGACATTAATCCTATTCATGAGCACTCCACCCTCATGATCTAATCGCTTCCCATAGGCCCCTCCTCCAAATCCCCTCACATTGGGCGTTAGACTTTTTTCACATATGAATTTTAGTCTATAGCAGGTGATAAGGTTGAGTCTCCTTGTCAAAAACTTTCCCCACACCCTCATATATTTGTTTAATATTTGTTTATAGTTTCTTTGGAGATTACTTAGATGTATGGTGTGAACTATGGATCCAATTTTATCTTTTTCTGAGTAGATGTCCAGTCACTCAGCATCATTTATTTAAAAGTCCATCTTTTCCCACGTGATCTTAAATGCCATCCAGCAATTTCCACAGGTATGTGTGTCTATTTCTGAATCTATATTCTTGTTACTCTCTCTACTCATTTGCCAGTAACACAGTTTTTTATTTTTATTTTATAGCCTGATTTAACATTTTCTAGGGCTAGTACTTCCTTATTGCTTTTATTTTTCAAAAATTTCCTTTATATTATTGTATGTTTATTTTTCCATATGAGCTTATTAATTAGTTTGCATAACTCTAGGTAAAACTTTTATTTTTATTGGAATCAGATTACTTGGGGAGAATTGCCATCTTTATGATGTTGAATTGTTCTATATGAGAAAAGCACAGGAGTTTTTCACACATTTTCTAATATAATTTTGGCACATTTCCTAGTAAGTTTTTATCTTTTTTGATTTCTATATTAAACTAGAGGCCTGGTGCACAAAATTTGGTCACAGGTGTGTGTGTGTGTGTGTGTGTGTGTGTGTTTGTGTGTGTGTGTGTATGTGTGTCCCTCAACCCAGCCTGCACCCTTTCTAATCTGGGACCCCTCGAGGGATATTCCATTGGGATCAGGCCTAAATGGGCAGTCTGACATCCCTCTCACAATCTAGGACTGCTGACTCCTAACCGCTTGCCTGCCTGCCTGCCTGATTGCCTCTTAAGTACTCTCGTGCCAGCCTGATAGATGCCTAACTGCTCTCCTGCCAGCCTGATTGCCCCTAACTGCCCTTCCCTGGTGGCCTGGTAACCCCTAACTGCCTTCCCTTGCCAGCTTGGTTGCCCCTAACTGCCCTCTCCTGCAGGCCATCTTGTGATGGCTATCTTCTATCCACATGGGGGGAGCCAGCTTTGACCACATGGGGGCATCCATTTTGTATGTTGGAGTGACAGTCAATTTGCATATTACTCTTTTATTAGATAGGATGACATTAACTTTTAAATGGTTATTGCTTGTATTTTTTGTGTATGTGTTTTTAGGTAACTTTCATATTACACTACCCTATAGACCTTGTTACTTGTTATTTTTAGTACTGATTCTTTGTTTTTCTAAGTGTAGTATTATATAATCTATATAATATAATTTCTTTCTCAGTTCATATACATGTAAATAGTTATAATTTGTCTTGCTCTGGAGTTTAATGGGAATTCCTTTAAAGTTTCTCCATTAAATATGATGCTGGTTTACAAGCTGAGATATAAGATATTTCATTGTGCTAATGCTCATTTTATTTTTATGAACTTAAGAATACTCATCCTTCTTGTGTTTGTGCCTCTGCCACCTGGAAGACATGCCCTGGGTAGTTGCTAGTTCCAGTTAGAGAGACACATAGAGCAGACCTGAATCCATCCTGCAGTCTAAAGCTCAGCTATCCCTGCTACCCACAGACTAATGAGTGATTAAAAGAAAAATAGTTGATGTTATAATCCACTAAGATATTGGGAGTGTTTGTTATTCATTTTCACAGTAATAACTGACTTATACAAAGTCTTTTCAATAATCTATAGATCTAATAAAAAGATATCTTTCTCCTTAATCTAACTATATGGTGAATTATAGGAATAAATTTACTAATATTAAAGCATCATTGTATAATAATACTTTTCTCACTTTGATTATTATGCATTTAAAAAATATATACATTTTTATTGATTTCAGAGAGGAATGGAGAGAAAGAGAGAGATAGAAACATCAATGATGAGAGAGAATAATGTGCCTTTGACTGGAATTGAACACAGGACACTTCAGTCCTCAGGCTGACACTCTATCCACTGAGTAAAACCAGCTAGGGCTATTATGTATTATTATATTTACATTTGATTTTTGATCCTGTTTGTTGGCATTTTATTCAAGACTTTTACAAAAATATGTTTTTATTGATTTTAAAGTGAGAGAGAGAGAGAGAGAGGGAGAGAGAGAGAGAGAGAGAGAGAGAGAGAGAGAGAGAGAGAGAGAAAGAGGGAGAGAGAGAGAGAGAGAGAAAGGGGAGAGGGAGAGAGGGAAACATGGGCTGCATCCTGTATACTCACTACTGGGAATTGAGCCAGAAACCTGAGAATTTGCCCTGACCAAGAATTGAACCATGCCTACTTGGTTCATGGGTTGATGCTCAACCACTGTGCCATACCAGCCAGTGTATTCATTACTTATTTATTTATTGCTAGTCATGAGTGAGAATGCTTTATAGTTTTTTTTTGTGTGTGTTTGTAATATTTACCAGTTTTAGTATCATAATTTCATAAAGATCATTTGACAGTTTTCCTTCTCTGCTACAATTTAAATGGTATTGGGGTTATCTAGTCATTGAAAGTTTGCTAAAATTACCCTGTAAAATAGTTTGGGTCTAGATTTTATAGTTAGTTTTTTTAAAATCATATTTTATCTTTCCTCTACAGAAGTATATTTATGCTTTCATGTGTAGCAAGGTCAATTTTGGTAAATTGTATTTTCCTAGAAAATAATCCAATTCATTTAGATTTTTCATTTGTTTTGTATAGTGCAAAGTAGTCTTTTTCAATTTTTTTTGTTTGTTTTAAAAGAATATTTTTTATTGATTTTAGAGAGGAAGGGAGAGGGAGAGAGAGAAATAGAAACATCAATGATGAAAGAGAATCATTGATTGGCTGCCTCCTACATGCCTCACACTGGGGATTGAGCCCATAACCTAAGTGTATACCCTGACCAGGAATTGAACTGTGACCTCCTGGTTCATAGGTTGACATTCAACCACTGAGCCATGCTGGCCGGGCTTAATTATTTTTTAAATTTCTTGTTTCATTGATTATTTCCTCATATATATATGAGGAAATGCCTACTTGGTTCATGGGTTGATGCTCAACCACTGTGCCATACCAGCCAGTGTATTCATTACTTATTTATTTATTGCTAGTTATTTATTGCCAGTGTATTCATTACTTATTTATTTATTGCTAGTCATGAGTGAGAATGCTTTATAGTTTTTTTTGTGTGTGTTTGTAATATTTACCAGTTTTAGTATCATAATTTCATAAAGATCATTTAACAGTTTTCCTTCTCTACTACAATTTAAATGGTATTGGGGTTATAAAATTCACATGTGAGTGCATCTAGGAATTTTGTTAGTTTTTAATTAATTAATTAATTAATTAATTAAAAAATCTTTATTGTTGAAAGTATTACATTGTCCCCTCTTTTCTCTCATTGACCCTCTCTAGCCCGTCCCTCTCCTTCCCTACCCCAGTAGGCTTTTGATAGCTTTTATATCAGCTTTGTAAAAAATGTAAAAATTCTGCTTTCACTCAGTGGAAGCAGCTTAAAGAGCCCTGCATGGTTGGAAGCTTTCTGGCTGAATATCCATCCTCACTTGATGGATATCAAGTGGGGATGGATATTCCTAACACCTGTTTCCTTGGTTAGGAACTTAGCTCAATCCGGAACCTGTACTGTTGGTGCAGCAGTTCCTAGATTGCTTTCTACCATGTGCAGCACATTCATTAAAGTGGTTATATCTGTTAGCTGTTGAGCAACGATGGGAAACCAAATACAGGAGAACAATGTCTTCACCAAACTCTCATTATATTCGAGATAAAAGATTTATTCATGTAAACAAAAATAATCACAACAAAATGTACACTAATTTGAAAAACAATTATAGTGGCTAAATTTTATATTCTCTTATGACTGTGTAAAAGTATTTTGTTTACTTCTGCAAAAAGCATGTTGTTTGCTTCTACATAAATTTCTATTTGTAAAAGAACACTACATTAAAATACAGTGTTAATTTGCATTACTTATATGGAGAGAACATAGACTAAATCCTGAAGCTTTTAGTTTACAAAGTTGTTACATGAAGCCACACTCTAAACTACTGATTAAAAACATTATCTATTTCCAGATTCACATGCATATACATTCACCACCTAAGCTGAGAAATAAGCATTTCATATTGTCTCCCACCTCGTTATAATGTATTTTTCCCTTTTAACTAAAACCAGAAAATTGTATTTTTCTTTCTTTTTTTTTAATTGGCCTCAGATGATGCACTTTCTATTTCATGAGAAATGCGAAATTTGAGATGTTTATCTTGTTCCTCGCTCTGAGGGTGTGAGGCCAGCTTGTCTTCATAGCTATGAAATTCCCGGCTGTGGATCTCATGGTTGACTCTGGAATTTTCCTGACTATCAATCCCATCAGAATGCTCCTTGCTCGCATCCATTGCCTTCAGCTTATGTTCTTTGGCAAGCTCGTGGCTGTGGGTTTCCACACTGTGGCGATCCAGCTGATGTGTTTCCCGGCTGTCCTTCCCATGGCTGTCCCAATCAGAAGCCGCAGGCAGGCCCTGGGCAACAAGGATGGCCCTGTGTGCATCATCCATCTCATCGCTTTCCATGTGTGACGTAAGGTCTTCCTCTGTAGCATCAGGATACTGAATCGGAGCACAAATGGAAGAAGAATTAAATGATAGCCAGAAAGAGGCACATTGTAAGTCTTTCCTGCTCTCAAACTTTTAGGCCAATTTATAATGAAAACTGTCTAAATTTGGCTGAAGTAAAAAATAATACTAGCATGTTACTTTATATTTCACCAACCCCTTTCATGTGTTATCTTCTTTGGTGTAATAGGTACATCAATGATATATGAGATGTAAGCTATGAGTAGGTCTCCTTATCTCTGTTTTAGTAGGAAACGTGAATTGGAAGTTAAAAAGTAAAGTGAGTGGTGGCTATGTATCAGATCCAGATCTTTTGACTATAGATTCAGTGTAATTTGCAACTCTACCATTCCTCTTAGGTATTTAACTTCAAAATGTGACCATTGTATAAGTAATTGCTGTTTTTCAAAGTCTCCTTTTAATCTAAAAAAAAAAAAGTGAATAGGATAAATGCTTTACCACCAGAATTTGGGGGAAAATAGCATTGTGATTGAGAGACAAAATTAGAGAGAAATTATGTGGATTTAAATATAAAAAACAAACAAACACATACACCAACAGAAAAAAGTCTCATAGTCAGTGGTCATAAAGTAATAATAATGCTTGCTGAATGAATAAATGCATGAATGAATAAGTGGTTATGCAGACTCTGGTTCATAGAATTGGGCTCCAATCATAACTATCCAATAGGTCTGTTAAAGGGCTTACCTGGACTCCAGATCTGTATAACTTCTTAGATTTTAACCTCAGTCCATAAGCCACGCTGTCACCTCGGCCATCATTTGTGTCTATTGTGGGGACAGCTGGAGTGGGAAAAGGGGTTCCAGGAAAGTCAGTGGGAAAATCCGTGACCATTTCATCAGATTCATCAGAATGGTGAGACTCGTCAGAAGTGTCAGGGTCATCCGTAGGATCTGAGTCATCTGAGTCATTTGAGTCGACGGAGTCTTGGCTATCCACATGGGCGTCGTCATCATCATCATCCACATCATCTGTGTGGTCCTGGCTTTCATTGGACTTACTTGGGAGAGTCTAAAAACCAAGATGGCCAGAAAACTAGTGTAAGTGTTTTAATTTTCCCTTAGTCTTTACAGTCCATTAGTCTTTTACTGTCTTTCTTTTATCTGCATCCACAACAATGCACTCAATGGCTTTTAAGAGCTAAAGTGAGCTCCTTCCAATTTCTTTTTTAACAAGGATAAATGGAATCATAATTAAAGTATTTTTCTTGATTTCCCATAAAAATTATTTTTCTAGGTAATTTCAAGTAATATATATGAGTATAATATTTATATTGATAACGTTTTTTTTTCTGGTTCACATTAGACATTATTTTATAGGCCAAATTCAATAACGCAATAAATACAGATACATAATTTTTTGTGATATTATCTTTTATATGAGAAATGAAAATGCTCAGGAGATCAGAGCATCATCATGCAGCAAAACCTAAAATCACCTTATTATCATGGATCATCAAAAAGTGACTGTTACACATGTTTGTAAAGTGAAGTTCAGATCTGTCAATTGAATTAGCCAGTTAATGTCTATTAAATTTCTAATTAGCAAACATAGTGGGTCATTTATCTAACTTAGCTTGCTAGCAAATCTTAGCATATTCAAACAGAATCTTAAGGAAAGCAAACTTATTTCTTTGCCTAGCAAATATATTACTAGTTCTAATAAAAAAAAAATCCTCATTAACAGCCCTAATAATAGTTACCAAGTAAACCATTATGTTAGGAACAGAAATGTTCCTAGAGGCAAAATCTTAGGTTTATAGGCATTTATTAGATGTTAAAATACCTTAAATCAACTGTAAGAGGCTCAGTATTTCAAATAACAGACATTAGTAAACATTTCCTGCCACACTATACTTATCAGAAAAAAACTGGTATTTCTGGCATTTAGTAAATACATATTTTACTGGAAAATTTGTTCATGGGATTTTGTTAGAATCAAACTCAGGTAATGCCATTGGGAAAATGAATGGCTTCTTTGTCTCTCTATGGCATGGTGGGCCTCTGACTCAAAGGGAGAACTCACCTCTTGTTTGAAGTCATCAGTTTCTTCAGAGGACACAGTGTTCTGAAGAAGGAAAGGCATATCAGTAGATAGCATACATGCTTCAACTTTTTATTTAAAAGTTAGCCCTTCTCATCCAAAGCAGTCTTATTGTTGGTGAACAATTTAAAGAGGAAAGAGTCAACATGTCAGATTAGTTGGTGTCCTGAGCTTGCACAGGCATGAGGACCTACTTAACCAGCCCAGTGGTCTGGTTGGTGGCTCTATATGTTTTGTTGTTGTTATTTAATGGAAAGACATACAATTTTTTGAAAATAATTTAAATTTAAAAATACCTGTGGTGCTAGGAGATTCTGCTTCTGAGATGGGTCAGGCTTTAACCATGCGGCTACAGCATCTGGGTGTTTGCTATAAAGCTATAAAAAAAAAAAGTTGCATATTTGTCATTATTAAAAAAACAACAACACATAAAGATCTCTAAGTGATACACTTAAAAAACAACTATACTTCACCAATACTGATAGATAAGAGCAATATGCATGTATATATTCAACCAGAGCCTTAGATACCCCTTTTCTAACTTATTTTTTCTTGCAGATTCATTTATCAAACTCTTACATAGCACTTGCTGTGGGCCAGGCACCCTTCCAAAGTGATTTACATGTTTTCATTCATGTAATCCTCTCAACCCCCTATGAGATGGATATCATTCTTGTTTCCATGTTGCAGACCAGGAGACACTAAGCCACACTGAAGTTAATCCTTCACACTGGCTCTCCACACTGATCTTAACACGGAGCTCCCCTGCCCTATGGTTTCTGGCTGAAATTTCCTCTCAGATAAAGTACAACTAAAACAGAGGTGCCCTTAATGTGCATTGATCTTCAAGGTCTCCTCTACTATGGGGCTCTTTAAATTTAATTAAAGTTAAGTGAAAGTTTCCGTTTTCTCGGTTGCACTAGCTCCATTTTAAATGTTTAATACCTCATGAGTCTAATGGCTATCTTGGTGGACGATGAGGAAAAAAATATTAACATCATCTCACCAAAGTTATATTGCTTTAGGGAGCCAAAGACATGCATGCAGTGCCCTCTGAGTTTTAGCCCAGTTATTTATTTGGACAATGATGATGATATGCTAGTACAGAGGAGGGAAACTGCTCTGAATGTATGCCACCAGATGGGCTGTATTGCTCAAGGAAGTCAGTGAGAACGAGAGCCCTGAAGGTTCCATAGTGCTCTTTCTGCAGCCACAAGGGTGGTCGGGGGTTTGCGAGGAGAAGAGAAGGGAGGAGACCAGTCATCACTTTGCACTTCTCCATGGCTGGCTGCAGCCAGAGCAGCTTCAGGTTGGGCTTCTCTGAAAGGTTTGCTTTACAAAGGTACAAAAAAATGACTGGTCTAGATGAGTTTAACGTTTCCCTCTTTCTTTAAAAAACATATTAATGTAAGTATTATACAGAAATATGTTATACTACAGATTTTACAAATATGTCTATTTCCTGATTATACAGGTAATGCAGGTTTAGGGAGAATGTATTTATAGGTTAAATTTATAATTTACAAAAGTAATATGAAGAAAATGAAACCAAGCAAAATAGACTAAAACCCACCCAGTGATCATAACCCTCACAGATAACCAGTGTTCATTGTCAAAGGTGTCTCCCTACAGACTTCCCATGTTTCCTACTAGGTCTCATGTCTAGGACTCTAGAAGGTTGAGCTCTTCACTCATCTCCTAAATATCATTTAATAACGTATACTGCCATGGCTTCGTGTGTTATATATGTTTTTTATTAAAAAGACATTGTTATTATTATTATTATTATTATTGCTTCAAATAGTGTAACCTCTCTCTTCTCTGAAAATGTTAATTTTTATGGCTTATTGTTGTAATTCAAACAATATTTGTGTTCTTAAATCACTTGGAAAACAGTCACCTACACACACGTACTTGCACACTCAACCACATGCAACAATACCTCTCTTAGTATCTTCATTAAGCAATCTAATTACAATGACTTCAGGAAACTCTATATGGCCTTTATTCTGTTTGTCTAAATTGAACCCTGTGTCTTTTTGTCCAGGCTCCTCAGGACAATGCCCATTTGTTGTTTTCCTGGCACAGTTTCACCTATTGTGGAGGGACAGGTACCTCTATGGCACGGGTCAAATGATTATAATAGAGTTTGAATTGGTCCTATGTTTGGTTAGAGAACTGTGATCCAAAGTCAGCTGACAAGCCTAATAGATACAAATAGCATAACAGACTTTCTTTTTATAATGGGCTTCTTGGCAAAGATCTTAGGACATACCGTGAATATTGCAGTTATGTAAACTGCAATACATGAGACCCATTTTAAATTAAGCCTTCCACTAAGTAAAAACAAGGGTAGGATTTTCTACTTCTAGAACAGTATGTTGACTTGTGGAAGAAAAAAAAAGTCATGCAACTTCAGAGAACGAATTTTACACAAATAATAATGGCATAGAACACTATTTTAGTGTACAAAAAATCTAGTTCAGTGTGTGGAACACATATTTGTTAAAAATTATACTGGGTGTGGCATTAGCCTAAGTTGACAGGCGGTCAATTTCTTATAAATTCAAAGTCTTGGCTCTGATAATAAGTAAAATTGTAACAGATATGTTTATAGTGCTTCTTGAAACAGCTGCATAAATAATTTAATTCTATGCTAAATCTATAAGATGCTTACCTGTCTTTCTTCAGAGCTGCCAGAGTCAGCATGTTTAACCTTTGAAACAGAAAAGATGAAGAAAGATTACAACGTGAATGGGTGCCCCACACCTGGGGGTATCCCATTAACTCATTTTGAGAAATTTTTCTTAAGATTCAGCTGTACTCACTGGAAAGGCGTAAGTAGTGGCCAAGAAGCCGAAGAAAATAACTGCAATTCTCATGGTGGTGATTTTTCCTGCAAAATATTCTGTAATGAATATTTGACCTCTTCGTAGGTTAAAACAGTGATACCTTATTATTCCACTGTATTACAAAATAATCACAAGTAAAATACATTTTTTGGTAGAACATTTTCTACTTCCTAGAGGAACTTTTTCTTTTTATATTTATGGTCCTTTTGATTTGATATTTGTAATGCTACCTCTATTCTCCATCTTTCCCATTGGGCAAAGGAGAAAGGAAGTTTACAAGTCTATATTTATTCAGCTTTTAAATTTAGAGTCCCAGAGATCACACCATTAGTTCTTGACATTGCCAACTATGTAAACCTAAACACAGACCAACAGTAATTTAATTAAAATAACAGTATAGTGTGGGACTTTTACTTTTCAGAAAAGAAAAACACAAGAGCAATAAAATAAAACTATGAAAGAAATTTGCTTTCTCCATTTTTTTTTCAGCATGCATTTCAAATGTGACTTAGAACTTAAATTATTAAGAAGGTGCTACGTGGGTGCAACAAAGCTATTTCTAAAATTAGTTATTCTAGAAATTTGAAACAAAAAAGGAAACATTGAAAATAACAGCTTTCTTATTTGCAATAAGTCTGCATAATGTTATACAGGTTTTTGGTGAACATTTTAATAGGTAAATACAGAGAAGTAAAAAAAAAAAAATCACAAAATTTCCCCCTTTGAAAATAGCATATATGAAATAATTAAAAACAGCATTCTCATTAGCTTAGATTAGCAATGAAGATCCTTTTCCTTTGAAATGCCTCCATAATCATCTATCCATTTAATATGAGATGGGTATAATCTCCCTCAGGGGCATAGAATTGTACTTTTTTTTCTTTTCCTTTTCTAATTGGAAGAGATAGTATCATTTCTTTTGAGGATCGAATGGAAGGATTTTTAGGTTATATATTGACTGACTTTCAAAATAGCTGGTCTGCAGGAGAGCTGCTATGTAGCTAGCAGGCTTATTCAAAAGACTAAAACAATTTAAAGATGATGAACAAACAGCATTACAAGTGACACTCTTTTCCTCACAACTTGACCTTCCCCATGAACGAAGCTGAAGGTATAGGACAGCAGCAGCAGGAGAGCTCACTGCAGGCTTACCTGGGTCTCTGCTGGCTGAGAATGCTGCCCCTGGTTCTTGGAGGAGAGTCCAGTCCAGACAGTGCTGCACTCCTTGTCTCCTCCTCTTGCTGCTGACAACTAGGAGCTCCCAGCATTTAAATGCTGCTCCAGACACATCCCCGCCCCCAACACAGAGAGGCGGAGAGATGTGTCATGAGGTTTTTTTGCCACTGCCCAACCCACTTGCTCCCACACTTCCCCCTCTGGTTTTGTGGTACACACCACACACACACACACACACACACACACACACACACGCCGGAGTTAAAGCATTACTTCTCTACAATATCATTAACTGGCATTTTCATTTATGGGAATGACATTCAGCATCCTGAAAGGGCACCTTGGAGTCCCATTAAGAAAAGGGGGAAAATGACTCGTTCTTACCAAGACTTTTCTGAATTAGAAGAAAAACGGTTAATATAAAACCAGTCCCAAATAAAATGAAATAGAATGGGGGTTGTTTATTTCAGTTTAAAAAAGACATTAACCTTTGAAATGGAACTAAATGCAACGAAATCTGCCCCGCCGTTTTATTTATTTAAGAGCTGCAATGCTGTTGTTCAGGCGTACCAAGTCTCAGATATCCTCCCTCCATCCTTTAATCTGGCTTGGTTTTGTGATGTCAAGTGTGAAGCAGCTTGTCATTCAGACAAATGGCATTAGAGACACGAAAGTCCATGAAATTGGACTTAACCATGAATGACCTTACAAGGACGTGTGTTTTTGATGCACTGTTTGAATTGATTAAAGCTGATTAACCTGATAACTTGTTACATAAAAGAGAGGTGACTTACTTCAGATGCTACAGAAGAAAAGTGGTTTCTGAGAGCAGGGTGATTGCTTGAGAGAGCTGCTTTGGGGGCCAGAGAGCGGCTTTGAACCCCACTCCGCCCCTCCCTAGCTGTGTGACCTCCGCCGACCTACACCTGCCTCCTCATCTGTTACATGCACATACTGCTACCTAGCGCATAGGAGTTTTGAGAGGCTTACATAAATTAGTCTGTGGAAAACAAAAATACTTGGCACATACGATAGGCATATTTTAAACACTGTGTGTGTGAACTGTGACTGAACTCTAGGAGCAGCAAGTCTTGGTGATTTGCAGTGTCTTCAGATGAAACGGGTTATTAGAATGAGACTAGATGTAAGACCTTTACATTGTGTACATCACTAGTGTAATTTGCACACCTTTAAAGGAATGGGTTAGATTTCTGAATCATTTTTTTCTAGTTTTTCTCTCAGGATATATGAAGTCGATGACTTAATAAGAAAATGTAAAAAATACATATTTAATACTTGTCTGGGTATTGAGAAGGTATTTGAGTGAAAGAAAACTCACAAATGGAGTCTGAATGTTGGGAAAAAAATTAACAAAGCTGTGAGTCCATTCAAAATATTTAGCAGTGTCTTTAAATTATGTACTCAATCTCTCCATGTAGCTTTCTCAGCTGTGAAATGGAAATTGCACTGCTCATTTACCTCCTGTTGTCATTGTAAGATTCGCGCGTGAAGTGAGATTAAAGATAAATGACCTCTTTTAATATTAATTATATCTAAGGTGTCAGTTTCTCTTTATTGAATATTGCTTTTAATAAAAACATGGATTAAATAATTTCTTGCAGTGTTAGCAGTGTAACTAATCCTTAGGTTGTATGGACATTTGGTGGTGTTGGGAAATATCTCTCTTTTAAATGGGATGCATTCCAAATGAATTGATGTTATTGATTTGTGGGTTCTAAGCCTACATTTTAATAATTCAGATGGCAGCTATCTCTATAGAATACGAGATGCAGGTTACAAAATTGCAAAACAGACTTCTTATTTCTGCTTTTAAAAATGATTGTTGTTTTTTTCTCTTTAGACACATTGCCCACATAAGTTAGTCATATTGTCAATTTCCTAGGGGGAAGTTCACCAGTTCTAAAAACAACAGGATTTCCAAAGGACTCGCGATGGTTTACCCTGTGCCCACGGAAATGAGTTAATATGACCTTAGAGAGTTATAGGAATAGATGTCGCTGGAGCCCAGCCATGGGGAGATGAACCATATGACCTAGCCTGGAACTCTTCCGGTCGGCTATGTCTCCGAAGTGCCACACGATGGCAGCATTCCTGACAAGGATTTCAGACCCCCGTCTGGCTCTGTTAGTTTTCTCACACTGGCAGGATAGAACAGTCATACATTTAATGACAGAACTCTAAAGCAGCTGAGGGGCCTTTCATTTCTTGGAAGCTCAGGTGGGTAAATATTTCTCAACAGAAACAGGGGACGCAGAGGCAAGAGAACCAAAGCATTCTTGTTCTGCTCTGTGGCTGCCTTCATTCCCCAAGCCCAGGTGGACCCTATTGTCTCCTCCCCCACTCCCACACTCACTCAAAGGGTTACAGATCCCGGGGTGTCCTTCCGAGTAAAGAAATGTGAATTCATGGTGAAAGAATGTGTCTGGCAAGCTTCAGAGATGAGAAGATAAAGCGATTCACAATAGAGGCAGTTCTGTAAAGTATGAAGTGAGTAGTGTGTCATTCTGACTTTGGAAGAGGGTCGGGCTGCTTAGGTTTTGTAATCAAACATGCTGCTGACACACTTTTTTTTTCTGAGTAAGATTTTCCAACGGTCAGAATTAACATTTTAAGTGATTTGAACCAGAGAGGCTTGATCTGTAACATTTCCACACTATTTCCACGCTTGATTGTTAAAATCCAAAGGTCGAAATGATCAAATTCCCTGCAGATCTTGTATATGATAAGAAAAACAGTAGTTGTAAACTGGAATAAAGAGTGGCTTGTGATAATAAAATATAGACACTATACGAGGTCTTATGAAAACATTTAAGAACATTACATTTTTTCTTGAATTGCATGAAAATTCCCATATCTTAGGAAAATTTAAGTGCCCAGATGCCACTGTTTTGGAAGGCTTTCTTACTGACTTCTAATTGATTTGGACATTTACAATTACATTTTACTTGGTGACGTATATCCACTATTTCAAATCTTTCATCTCTGTGAGTACTTATTTCCCCCCGTGAATTAAGGTTTAGAGAAAGATGATCTCCTGATACCATCACCAACCTATCACAGAAAATTAGAACCCACACACAGTATTCATCATTTGCAGTTTGGGGAAAAGGGGTTTTATTTATTAGAGGGAGGGGAACAAGGGTGGAAGATAAGAGGGTGCTATTTAAAAAATATAAAAAGAAATCATCAACTGAAACCAGTGTGGCTCAGTGTTAGAGCGTCAGCCTGTGGACTGAAGGGTCCTGGGTTCGATTCTGGTCAAGGGCATTTACATTGGTTGTGGGCACTCCCTGGTGAGGGGTGTGCAAGAGGCAGCTGGTAGATGTTTCTCTTTCATCAATGTTTCTAGCTCTCTATCCCTCCTCTTCCTTCCTCTCTGTAAAAAAAATCAATAATATATATATATATAAAGAACCATCAGAAAACTCAATGACTTTGTCAACAAAATTCAGCAAACATTAGTTTCACTGAAAACAAACAAAAAAACTTTTGTTCTAGACCCATAGAGTTATTATAGATTAAATAAGTATTCAATAAATTGTTTTTGAAATATTTTTATTGATTTTAGAGAAGAAGAGAGAGGGAGAGAGAGATAGAAACATCAATGATGAGAGAGAATCATTGATCAGCTGTCTCCTGCAGGACCCTTACTGGGGATTGAGCCCACAACCCGGGCATGTGCCCTGACACATAATGAAACCATGACCTCCTGGTTCACAGGTCAATGCTCAATCACTGAGCCATGCCAGCCGGGAAAATTCTTAATGATTAACCATTTAATTCTCCAACAATGAATTCTGAGTACATAGTTCTTGCTTATCAATACAATGCAC